ATTAACTATGTGTTTGTTTGGATTACTTAATTAGTAATTACTTCTTGATTCCAACATCTTCTCTTTTTTGGGATCATTTTTAGCAGCATTAATTCGAGTAACACAGTTGCTAGAATGTTAAAGAATTTTTTTTCCGTCAACTGCTACCGTATGTTTTTCAAAAACATTATTACTAAATAATTTGAACGGGTAAATAAGATAATTAAAATGAATATCTTATTATCTCTTAAAAAATAGTTTAAAATAAAAATTAGATTCAACAAAATTTAATTAAAAAATTATTTAAATTAATTGAGTGACTTTCTAAGTAAAATACCAATAGTTGAGTGACTTTCTGAATGAAATACCAATAGTTGAGTGACTTTTGAGTTATAAAATAAAGTTGAGTGATTTTTTAAGTAAACTACCGAAAATTAAGTGACTTTCTGACTAAACTATTCAAAGTTAAGTGACCCTTAAGTTGAGTGATATTATCTCTCCTTTTAACCTCCGAACTACGTTGTCCTCCTTGTTACCCTTAAGTTTGTTCGGTCAGTTGGTGGCCAAAATTCGAAGCCCCAAATTTTTTGGATCCGGCTCACCTCCCGTAGTTGATCCCTCCATTTCCTCCCGTGGGCCGTTGAAATTGCGACACCTGTCCCAATAACAAATAAATGGTGCAGATATATTTAATTAACCTTGACCTTCTAACCATGGTAAAAAACTCTCTCTACTCCCTGCCGTGACAAAGACCCATTCCCCATCCAAATCTCTCAAGAAGTGCAACTAAAAAGCTCTAAAAAGTAATGGCTTCCTTGATGCTTGAGCAGGTGATGAAGATGAGAATTTTAATTAATTAGTTGTTGAAGTTCCTTTCATGGTGGCCGGTGGGTCTGTTACTAGAAATAATTAAGCATGTCAATGGCAGCCCACAGAAACTCCTAACTAACAGAGCTAAAAATCCGTTATACATCTACTGCAAATTGAGTTAGTAGGTTACTGAAGTTTAATCTGAATTTGATTTATTATCTTAAGATTTTATAATCCAGAACAAACTATTGATTGAGATATGACATTTTTTTGTACTTTTGCTCGTTTCAATCTGTATTGTTTTTTACTCAAAGTGCAATTGATATTTTTGTTCATTTACGTTGTTTGACATATTTGAGAATTAATAGGAGAGAGGAGATCTTATTTAAATGTGAAGAGGAAAGAGTAACGAGAGTGAACAATTAATTAACCACAGTAGGTTAACTAAATAAATCTGCACCATTTATTTGTTATTGGGACAGGTGTTGCAATTTCAACGGCCCACTGGAGGAAATGGAGGGATCAACTACTGGAGGTGAGCCGGATCCAAATTTTTTGTTAACATCTCAAATATCCAGTGTTTAGATTTTAAAAATATTTTTTTATATAATATTCAGATATATATATATATATAAAAAGATAAATTGGACCCAATGAAGAAACGACACATGATGATGAATATGAATATGAATAAAAGGTCCCTCCATGTTATACTTCCGTTTTCAATCCTAGTCATTCCTAGTTTTGAGTGACCAAATGGTCCTCTATCAATTTAGAAAAAGCACATGTTTGTTATGTTCGTATACAACACTTTTATTCATGGCCAAATACATATACAACCCCTTTTAACTTGTCCACATTTTTCATTTTGGCACTTTATCTTAGCCTTGTTTCATTTTAACCTTTGAACTCCATTTTTTATGTTCCATTTTAACACGAAATACTATTTTTATGATTTATTTATTTTTATATATATTCTTCAATTGCAACTTCTTATTTTAAATCGACATGTGTTATTTAATTTTAGTTAAAAAATTAAAAATTAACAAAAAATAATTCTTTTTAAAAAATAATAATTTCTTTTTAAGAGTGTTATGTATTTTTGTGTGAAAAATAACCGACGAAATTGTGTTGGTTTTCTTTCTTTAAAATCACTGACAACCTAACAAAGTCAGTCGAGTTAACATTGTTTATTAGTGTTATTAGCAATGAACAAGAGTCTTTTTTTAGTAGTGTTATTAACTAAGTCAGTCGAGTCTTTTTGAAGATGGATTTTTTTTTTATTCGTATTGATTTATATTAAAAATTAAAAGTGAGTATTTGCGTTAAATTTAGATAGCCTAGATGATAAGAAAAAATAAATAAGTAGTGTTATTTAATTTGATTGAATGTTTAAGAAAGAAAATCAAAGAACTTTCGTCAATTTATTTTCATGCAAAAATACAGAGAAATATCAAAAAATAATATTATTGTTTGAAAATTTTTATGTTCATTCGCAAATGTTTAATTTTTTTAATTAACAAGCACACGTCTATTTTTTTAAAATAAGAAATTGCAATTGAAAAACATAAATAAAAACAAATCATAAAAATTAGTATAAGTGTTTAAATGGTACAGAAAAAATAGAGTTTAAGGGTTAAAATGGAACAAGGCTAAGTTGGAGTGTCAAAATGAAAAATGAGGACAAGTTTGAGGGATTGTATATGTGTTTGGCCTTTATTCATTTTGATTGGAAAAATAATTGGAATTGTATAGTAAACCATGGAAAATGCATTTGTCTCCATGAGCAGGTAATTATTAAATTGATAATGCTATAGCTTTACTATGATTGTCTGTCATTTGTGTGGTCAGCGCCTGTGCAATATAGTACACATAATTCTGAAATAATATCCCAACTCGCGCCCACCAACACACTAAAACCCCACGTTATAGCAATAGCGTGTTAATTATGCCTTATCATATTTGTCACGTTCTCCTTACCTCCATTACCCCATTTCACGAAAAATTTTATGATGGTTGAGGGATAAGTATGAGGTGGCGTACAAAAGTTGTGTGAGGTTCTTTTCATAATTTGACAAATGGAGTTTTGGGTCCCATTTTCAGAAAAATGGGCCAAAATTCCTTCTCTCTTACTTTTTAACTTTTTCCCATTATTCAACTTTTTGACTTCTTGTTTTTTTTACCATTATTTCAAATTTTGCTATTTTCCTTATCTTTAAATAATTTAAAAGTATAAAATTTAGCCTAATTCATCATACTCCTAACATTTAGTATTATTTTTCTATCCTATATTAATTATCTAAATTACTAAAAATAATTATTAAAATTATTTATCAATTTACAAAATTAAACTATAATGTTTTTTTATTTTTATTACCCTAACAATTAATTCTTTTTGAAAGTATAAACAAAATTTGTAAAATTGCAAAAAAATAATATAAAGAGTAAATTAATAAATTATCATTTTTATTAATAATTTCTTAAAGAATGTATAAAAAGTAAAATAACTAATACGAAAAATAAAAGGAGTATAAATTAATTTTTTTCTTCCCAATAATTTTACAATTTTCTAATTTCGTAAACACTTAAATATATCAAATATTCTCCAACAACAAAAATATAACAGAAAGACTATTAGTAATCTTGATGAATAATTACATAAGTTTTGTTACTATTTTCATGTAACCCAAAATCGAAAATCATCCATAAACTCCTACAAACATAGATACTCTCTCAATTATATGATATATATATTTATTCTTGAAATTCAAGCTATGTGAAATCTAATTAATATTTTAAAAATATTCTTTTATTATTATATTAACTTGATAAGAATTGCAACTTATAGTGTTTGTTCAAAAATATAACCTTCTCACTA